CCACAGCTGCAAACCCACACTCAGTCTTTCCCACCATCTTCTGCTGAACTGTCCACCCTCTGGTCCCTTCTGTAGCCTGCCAGCTCCTTCTGCAGCGTGGCTTCCACCATTTGGACATGTTATCTTCTTCTCAAGCAGAGTGGGTACACCTAGGTCCTAAGTCCATCTTTGCTGATTGTTGGAGAGGTCTTAGGAAGAGGCTTCACCACACACATGTTGACCATGTTATCCTCTCAGTTTAAATTCCTTTAGTGGTTCCCGTGCCTTTGGGACAAAATCCAAGCTGAGTTCATCAATTCTTTCCCCTTCTAGTCTCACCTGCATCCATAGCCTCACCACCCTATAGCCTGTATCCTGCATCCTGTATCCTTACCATCCTATAGCCTGTATCCTGCATCCTGTATCCTCACCATCCTATAGCCTGTATCCTGCATCCATAGCCTCACCATCCTATAGCCTGTATCCTGCATCCTGTATCCTCACCATCCTATAGCCTGTATCCTGCATCCTGTATCCTTACCATCCTATAGCCTGTATCCTGCATCCTGTGGCCTCACCATCCTATAGCCTGTATCCTACTGGTTTGAAAACCCGAGTTTTCAAATCCAGGTTCTGCTGTTCCCTCTTTTACTCTAGGACTAAGATTTAAGTATAAAATTAGGATTTGGGTGAGCTGGGAGGTAGGGTAAGGAGGCAGGAGAAAGGCATGGTCTGTGAAAGAAATTAACCTAAACTAAGTGTTATGAAATGGTCACAGGGAAACCTGTTACTTTGTGTGCTAATTGAAACATTAGAAATAAATAAATGAAGTCAAAACTTGTAACAACAAAATATCTGCCAGGGAAAAACTGGGTCATTTGTAAAACTGTCTATTAAAGTCTTCACTCACCTTGGGTTTTGGTTTTCTTTTCTTTTTATAATTTTTATTTTACCATTCAATTATTTACACTTCCTTCCCTCCTCCCAATCCCCTCCCGTTCCCCCACATCCCCTCCTCCCTATCTCACCCTGCTTGAGAGAGGGCAGGGAACCCTGCCCTGTGAGAAGTCCAAGGCCCTCCCCCCTACATCCAGGCCTAGGGAGCTGTGTATCCATATAGACTAGGGTCTCAAATTAAGGGATCCATGTTAGGATTGGTTTTGGTTTTCTTAGCAGCCTTTCTCGACTGTTTTCAAGGGCTTGCTGACTGTGATGGAAAAGCCAGTTCTCCCAGCACTCAGGAGATGGAGGCAGGAGGATTGGGAATTCGAGGTCACTCTTAGCTGTTGAGGCCAGCCTGGGCTACAGAAGACCCTGTCAAAATGGAACAAAACAAACAAACAAAAAAAGAATTAGCCAAGGTATTATCATAATCCCTTTGCATGATGCTTATGGCTTCTGGGCAGGAAGTTGAGTTAAGGTTGACAAGGTCTTTGTCATCGTCCTATCAGAAGCACCAACAAAGCAGTGCTGGGCACTGCACTGGAACACAGAAGCGACTAAGACATGCGATCCTCATCACTCAAAGCCGAGGACTGTGATTGGGGGAGATGTTGTAAAGGACGAACTCCTGTATGTCCTCGGGAAAGCCTTAAGTTGGAGTTTACCTGGTGCCACAGGGCTTTATTTGACACCAGAAAAATAGGAGTAAAAACCTGGCCCGGAGGACTTCTTTCAGAAGGCTGGGATACAGCCCACTTTCCTATAGCACCAACTGTTTCTTCGACATGGTTCATTTATTGTTCAAGGACCAGGTCTCTATCCCTGACTGACTACCACAGTATAAATACCCTTATTATGGTGTTTTCAATCTGCTCCTCTAATGCCAAGCAGTTCCCACAGTTCCTCAACATGGCCCACCTGTCCATAGCAAGCTGACTCCAGCATACTAGTGTTTGGAGTTCTTGTATCAGGTGATCCTCCTGCATCATAGGAGCCCTGTAATCTCCACTGTGAGTGTGGGGGTCAGTGTGGAGCAGATAGACCCCTAGAAATGGGGGTGCTTTCAGTGCCCATGTACTCACTTGGACCCTAGAAATGGGAGTGTTTTCACAGTGCCCATGTACGTACAAGGACCCTAGAAATGGGGGTGCTTTCAGTGTCCATGTACTGACCTGGGCCCTAGAAATGGGGGTGCCTTCAGTGCCCATGTACGTACCTGGATTCTGAAACTCTTTGCCTTGCTACCCTGGTCTTGTACCCAGAGACACAGGGGTTCTCTTTTGGGGTTCTCAGTCTCATTAATAAAAGAATCTAAAAACAGACTCAGAAGGAGCCTCGAGGACAGTTGATTCAGTTTTATTCGAGTGTATGAGGAAAATTATAGTATAGGCTAGCTGAAAATCCTGGCCACTGCCTGGAGAAGAGATGGGGGAAAGTCTTGTCCTTTAGGTTAGACATGGGATATATTTAAAGTTCAGAGCACCCCCAAGGGTGGAAGGGGGTAATGAGCTCGGAAAAGAGCCCCAGTCTTTCTACTATGTAGGGAGCGTGTGGTCTTCATAGCACTCCCCCACTGTATTTCATGGGTGTTTTTTGGCCCATGCTCTGCCTGGTGGATAATCCCGGTAAAGTGGGATTATCTGTCTTCCTCTGAACACTGACGTCTTCGATGCTAATCTTGCGGCTGCTTTCTTCCATCCTGAGTCTCTGGTCGTAGGTTACAGCCTTATTGGTCTTAGAGCCTGGATCTTCATTCCTCTCCAAGTGCAGCCCTCGGGGTTCTGTTCAGTCTGTATATTTTGTTTAATTCTCCCCATCAGGTGTATGCTTTCTGCGATGTACTGATGCAATTAGCCTCCATTCCAGGGCCCATTGTGAGCCAATGCTTGGGTTGTTAGCAAGACGAGTCTGGTGGTGTTAGCCTGTATGGAGGGACCATAATCTCCACCACAGTGTCATTAGTTAACTGTGTGCTCCAGAGACCCAGTGTCACTTCCAAGAGCGGGTGGGTGGGGGCGGTGGCAGCAGGGGAGGGGAAGGCTCCAGGTCACTACTATCCTGTCATCCAGGTTCTGTGTAGAACTGTCTGAGCTGGAGTCAGGTTAGAAACCCGGGGCCATTAGAGCATTAATTTCATGGCCAGGATTTTTTTTCACCTTAAATTAACACTCCATTCAAGCTGAATGTCTTCCGATCCAGTTGAGTAAGCCAAAGGTATCTTTAGAAATTTTCTGCAGTAAAGAAATCTTTTAGGCAGACCGTAGAAGTAGCCGGGTCTTATGCCATTCCTTGTGTTTAATACAAGGCGGAGGGTACCAGCAAGGCCTTGGCTGTGTTTGCGGTCCAGGTGTTCACATGTTCAGTGGCTCACCTGGTGGGGGAGGGGTGGTGCCCAGAGCCATGTTGCTTAGCCTGCAGCCCTGCGAAGAGCCCACACCCAGAACGCAGAGCCCCTGGAGTATACTGTGAGCTGTGACCACTGACCAGGACATAGGAGACCTTATCTAATTAACTAGCTCATGACTATAATCCTAGCACTTGGGAGACTGAGGCAGGAGGATAACAAGTTTGAGGACAGTCTTGACTACATAGCAAGACCTTATTTCAAAAACTAAACAAACCCGCCACCACCCCCAAAAGCTGGAAGAAATTGGGCCTTTACAAACGTTTAACTCCTACAGCCCTGCCCAGCTCAATGCTGGGAACTCAGGCTCCCTGGGAGCATACCAAGCTAAAAGAGTTACAGTTTCTCTTGTGCAAGGAAGTAGAATCAGTTGGGTATGTCAGCAGCCAACCTGACTGAGGGGTTCATCGTTGGGTAGCTTACCTCTCGACGTCCATTGTGTCCTATAGAAACAGGACTACTGTCTGCCAAAATGGCCTCATAAGAGGCCTCTTCTTATTCAGGGTTTCCCCAACATTATCCCCTGAAGATTCTATAACAGTCCCATGGCAAAAACAAGCCCTCTTCCTCCCCAGACCAATGAATCCATGGCTTCCCTTCACTTCTGTGTATCCACAACTTCACCACCACTCAGGGATTCTTGATGAATGGTGCTTACCTCTGGAGCGTTCTGGGAATGCTAACAGCCATACCTTGGCTAAGGGACCCTGCAGACAAGGCCAGCCACAAGCCTGCTCTGCCCACACAGAGCCTCACCCACACCTCTTGACTTACCCTTCACTCCCGGAAAAAGCTGCTTTTTACTGGCATGGGGCTAGGGACATCACTGTGCCTGGGCTGGAGGAAAGAAAAAAAACCCCAAGAGACGGAAACATGCATTTTTCAAGGCTCTAGGAATTATGGGAGCAGATGGCCTGTAGGATCCAATTTTGATGCCAGGAACAGGTTTCTGTATAAAGTAAATATTTTCCCACTGTGGATCTCCGGTGAGCGTGTGGAGAAGCGTATTTCCTAAAGATGCAAATAAGCCTAGTCAGAAATAAATATTGAATGGAAACTTCAAAGCCTCTCGATTTCTCCAGTTAGAGACCCTGAAGATTTCTGTCCAAACAGGCAGACATACAGGTAGATGAAGGCTTGGGGAGGGGGAGGGGGAAGGTTGAAGAAGGAAGGGTACAACTGTATTCTAGTGCTCATCCTCTCCCTCCTCTGGGGGTGGGCAGGGTGAGGGAGAGCAGGTGAGCATAAAGAGGCATATTGTAAAAGAATTACTGTTATGTCTGTCCAAAGATAGTGCTATTCTCTCTCCCTTCATATGTATTTTGTATTTGTCATAGACACATACCATATCATACATATTTATGGGCTATGGAGGTGACATTTCAAGACATGTGTATCTGCAGTATGTAATGATTTGACTAATTGGCGCGTTCATTGCCCCAGAAATGTATCATTACTTTGTACTGTGAACATCCCAAATCCTCTACTAACCGTTTTGAAGTCACAGTTAAGTCTCAGCAGCCACAGTCAACGCTCCTGCGCTGTGGAGCCTGGGAAGTTGATCTTCCAGGCAGCAACACCCTGAACCTGTTATTAGCAGCATCTCCCCAGACCCCTCCTCTCAGTTCAGAGGCCCGGGGTGTTTTCAGTGTGCCACCACCCCTTTCTGTTGCAGGTCGCGCCTTGCGGACTTTTTTACCAACTGCCAGCCCGAGTCAAGGTCTGCCAGCAGCTGTCTAAAGGAGAACTATGCAGACTGCCTCCTGGCCTACTCTGGACTGATTGGTAAGACCTGGGAGGGAGCAGGGCGGGGGACGGGAGAATCTGGATTACAGATCTGTCTGCTGCAGCCTGTGATGTCTGTACAGGAGACAACTTCCAAGGAGCTTCTGTATTAGAGTTTAGATAGCTTGGAGAAAGGAGGAGGGAGGAGGGAGGGAGGAATGGATGCAGGAGAATGGAGCTCGGGGATAATTATGGAGCAGGGAGACTCCAGATTTTAAAGGAAGTGAAGCATCTCCACCGGGGAACTGGCCACGCAGAACAAAAGCAAGGGAGCCCATGGCCCTTGGAAGAAGAGATAAAGGCAAACACAGTTAATTAAATAAGGGAACTTTGGAGAGCAGGAGCTTGGAAGTCAAAGAAGATGTTCCCAAGAAAGGCCTTTTGGAAATGAATTCCAACATTAGGAAGTTTCCTGCTATTATTGCCTGGTCATTTGACTCCTCGTGTACAAGGGATTGTTTAAGGCTAAACTTCTTTTCCTGTACATAACTGTTGGGCCATACTTTCAGTATACAAGAGAACCGTGAAATTAAACAAATGTATGGGGAAACATCCCAAGAGAGGCAGATTTACACCAGAGGTAGATAGAGCTGGCAGGAAGAAAGCAGGTATCCACAGGTACCAGGGACGGCTGAAGCTTCTCTGTCAGGGCTCCGTCACAGTTGGCATTTGAGAAGGAACATTGAAGACTGTGGAAGGGGAGAGAGTAGTTGCAGCTGTCATACAGCCCTGGTTCAGCGGCATCTCTGTCCCCAGGGCCATGTATCACCAGCAGGAGCTGCCTTCTGCCAAGAGAGACAGCACAGGCTACCCTCCATGAGAATATTTCCAGTGAGAGCCTTTGGTTTACGTGAGGGTGCCTTCAATGCAAAGCTGTTGCTAGTTCTCAACGCCCCAACCACTCCCAACTTTCCGAAGGGACATCTGTGCTCCCACATGTAATACCTCTGATAATGCTGTCCCCGCTGCTCCAGGTACGCACCATTCCTGTGGCTCTAGCCAACAAGCGTGCACGCAATCCTTAAATTGGAACTGCAGAAACGTATTCATGCCCTCTTTGATGAAGGTCTTAGTCTCTACTTGGGATTACGTATGAAAAGATGGAATTGCAGAAATAACAAAAGCAATTAAGGCATACTCACTGCTTAAAAAGGAAAAATAACACCGGGGATGCCCCCAGAGGACAACGTTAAGTCTCTGCAGATGTAATCAGTGTTAGCACTTCAGCCTGTGTCCTTCCAGGAGTTCGCACTCATGAACTCCCCTGGGAGTGGCCAAGGAGAGGCCCTGCCAGCATTTCTGTGAGCTTACTCCTAGGCTTGGCAAAGCCTTCCATGCCTAAGGATGATGAAATGGATGGAACAAATGGCGGATGGACTGTGTTTGTGCAGGCCAAGAAATCTTTCTCTTCTGGTTCTGGGTCTCTTCTCCATGGTTCCCTGAGTCAGTGGCGCCTGACTTCTGCACAGAGCTGTGTGTGCCTTTTGCGCATGTCAGGATCCACTGTAGCCAGCATCCGAGGGGCAGGGGGTTTGACCCCTCATTCTGTCACTGGTGCCCGGTGAGTTAGACCTCCCTGGACAATGCCGATTAAAGTCTCGTGTTAATAATGAGATCCAAGTTCAAAGAAGTAATATCAGTGGGGCAATGACAACGTGTCCTTGACCCTGGAAGAGCTTCTAGAACATTTTCTTTATAGCCAGGCTCATTCTCTGGATCGCTGACCCATTTCTTCTTCCTTCCATAAAGCAACTAAAAACAGAAAGTTCTTGGCATCCGTGGGCATTGCCTGGTGTGAGCCACCCAGGAGAAGACATTTGGGTTGTGTTAAATATAAATGCATTGTGTATTTCTACCGGCGGAGAACTCACCAGAGAAACCACAAGTCATAAGCAGGAAAGCCCACACAGCATCTCTGTGGGAACCGTTGTGGCCCACAGATGATACTTCAGGAGTCTCGGACTGGGCAAATGCCACTGGTTTTCCCCTTCCTTCCTTCCTTCCTCCCTCCCTCCCTCCCTCCCTCCCTCCCTCCCTCCCTCCCTCTCTTCCTCCCTCCTTCCCTCCTTCCTTCCTTCTGTTCTTTCTTGTTCTTTTGATAGGGTCTCAACGTAGCCAAGGATGACATTGAACTCCTGGTCCTCTTGCCTCCGTCTGCCAAGTTCTGGGATGATGGCATACGCCACCTGCACGAGTCCACCTTTGGGCAGAAACAACAGTCAAACTACCGACTGAACTTCATCCCCAGCCCCATTTCTGCTGCTTTCCCACCTTGGATGAGTTTATTGACATCAGTTGAGAATCTGGGAGAGAAAGCCTCTTTCAGTACATCTGTAGGCAATCAGGATGTGGGGACCTTATTGGAGGCATCCACTCTTCCCTGTGTTACCCTAAAGAAACCATTCGCCTCCGAGGAAACTGGATTAAAAGCCTTAAAAGAATTCTTATTTGCACCCAGTACTATTTATGAAGATTAATGACATTTTCAAGACAATGCAAGGGATTTCCAAGCTCATACATTCTAAGTTAATTCTCGCCTTCTCCATGACATCTATACCATTTGTGCAGGAAGAAAATACCCTAAATACAGCCCAAGGAGTTTGCCTTTTATAACTTGTATAAATTATTTTATGTGCTCAAGATAAATTGCCAAGAAAATGCTCTGCTTAACATACTTCCCCACCCGGCAAACACGGCATTTTTAATTAGCCATGGCATTTCCACCGTCAGGCGGACATTTGTTTCTTCCTGGGCCACAGAAAAGTCCGTGTCAACACAGGAGGACAACACACCTTGTGTTTTTCTTCCTGGGCCACGGAAAAGTCTACATCAACACAGGAGGACAACAAGCCTGTGTTTTTCTTCCTGGGCCACGGAAAAGTCCACGTCAACACAGGAGAACAACACACCTTGTGTTTTTCTTCTGGGCCACGGAAAAGTCCATGTCAACACAGGAGGACAACACGCCTTGTGTTTTTCTTCCTGGGCCACGGAAAAGTCTACATCAACACGGGAGGACAACATGCCTTGTGTTTTTCTTCCTGGGCCAGGGAAAAGTCCACGTCAACACAGGAGGACAACATGCCTGTGTTTTTCTTCTGGGCCACGGAAAAGTCCACGTCAACACACCTTGTGTTTTTCTTCTGGGCCACGGAAAAGTCCACGTCAACACAGGAGGACAACACGCCTTGTGTTTTTCTTCTGGGCCACGGAAAAGTCCACGTCAGCACAGGAGGACAACACGCCTTGTGTTCTTCTCTTTCAGGCACAGTCATGACCCCCAACTACATAGACTCCAGCAGCCTCAGTGTGGCCCCCTGGTGTGACTGTAGCAACAGCGGCAACGACCTGGAAGAGTGCTTGAAGTTCCTGAACTTTTTTAAGGACAACACGTGTCTCAGTGAGTATTTAAAACAGCAAAAAGCACGCCAGCGCATCCATGTTTTCTCCTTGAGCTCAAACGCTCCCCTTAATGTTCCTCACCCCTCCCTCTCCTTCCCCTTCCCTGATGGCGGGTGGTGACTCTTGCTTCTTTTGGCACACTCAGTGACACAGCAGGGAGCCACACAAGTGATGAGCTGGGTGCTGCCAAGACCGTGCTCCCAAAGGCCAGTGAGGATGGGAGATTCAAATGTTTGAGAGTGTATTGTGTGGGAAAGAATATTTCTACCCACAGATCAAGTTCTGATCTTGGCAGCCAGTGTTGAGTCCATTCCCGGGTTCTGAAAACCTGGTAGGAATGTACAATGTCAAAGCTCAGGCAAAGTGGATAGGACAGGCCTCCAAGGACTCTGCGGGGAAATTCGAATGTTGACACCGGCAGCCTCTTGCATCGTGAGGACTGTCTATCTTGATGGGAGAGTCCGGCAGCCCAGCCGAGACAATCAGGATGTGGATGCTCCTGGGAGCTGAGCTGAGCCCTTGTGAGCAGGGTGCTCCTCTTCGGGTACAAACACTCTTTAGGCAATTTAGAATCATGTTTGACAAAGGGATAGAGATGTACAGATGGAGACCTTGGGCATCCGTCAGTGAAACTTAAAACGGAGGACCCCAGGTCTCCCTCGCATACATCTCCACGTAGGACGATCGTGCTTTGCACGGCTCTCCAGCTGAGACACAGCTCATATTGTGGGAGTGTAGAATTCATCACTTCTACACAAGCTGCACAGGAACCCTAGGCGATACAGGTATCATATCCACGTGACAGCGCTGAGTTAAAGATTAGTATTCTCCCAGACCTGGAATGGTAGCGTTACGATCTAAAGCTCCAATCTTCGTGCAGCCCCCGACTTCCAAAGACCATGTTCATGAATGGTATTTGGAGGACCTACTGTAGAAGCATGGTCCTGAGCATCAAGGGCCAGGTCCAGCTTCTTGAGTGACAGGCATCAACGTTCAGCCGTGCCCCTTAAGAACTCTGTCCTCAAGTGATAAATTCTGCATGATGCTATATGCTTACTTACTATCTTTTGAAGAATTATCTGGTAACTTACCAACTCTTCGGAAAATATCTCATGGGCATTTCACTAAAATTTCCTCTGTTGAAAAGTAAAACCCAACTTCTTGATAGATGCTTCAAACAATGCAACTTCAGTGCCTTACTTCGGTTCTCCTAAAAATAAAATGATGTTTTGAGTTCTTAGCATTCAGACCCACAAAACATGCCATAAATGTGGAGGCGTTTGCAGAGACCTTGGGTGTACCAGCATGCTACAGGAGGACCTCTTGTTTGGGCTTTGTTTGATGCATTGGTTGGTTTGTTTTTTCTTTTTGTTTATTTCACTTTTTGTACTCTCCTGGTTGAATACAAGTTTAAGCAAAAATAAAGCAATGGAAAATTTGTTCTTCGGAGAGAAATTAAAGTTGTCCGTCCTTGGCAACATTTCAGGAAAGGGGAGAACAGTCTTATGAATGACTTAAATACAAATGATTGCCAAAGGCAGCCAACGGCTTTTATAATCGTTCTATTTAGCCTGGTTTGGAAGGGACACAGGGCTGCAAACGCAGTGTCTTACAAAGGGCCCTGACCTAGAAGCTGGTACAGTTTTGTGTTTTTGGATGTGACTCATGTAGAAACCCCATTCCACCTCCGTCCAGTGAAGCCAGGCTTCTCTCACATTGCCCTACCGTGAACGCAACTGAAATCAATTGTTTGGTCATGGTTTGGGAATGGGAAGTGGTCATTTTCCATCCAGTTCATGGCAGATGGATTTGTAGGGATGAGAGAAGAGGAAGGTGAAGGGGGAGGCGAGAAAGCATCCTCCTCCCAGGGGCCTCCCGGGCCACTTAATCCAGACCCCGGCTCCATTCCTCATGTCCCTCCTTTCTTCGTTGTCTCTTAGCACGTACTGTCACGCACGGATGTCTTTTGCCTTTTTCATTCCTGGACTGAAGTTCTGCTTATGGGTACGGTTGCTGTCACTGCTATTCAAGACCTCAGGCTTAGTACACGGAGCCATCCCTGGAGTTTAGGGTTACATCAGTAACGTGTCAGAGAATGAGTGTGAGAACAGCTGAGCTTGGCGGGATGAGGCTGACGCTCCTGGGGCAGCAAGGGCAGTCTTCACGAACGACAACTCTCTCTCCTGTGTCTAACAAGGAAAAGCAGAGTGTTGCGTTGTTCGTGTTCTGAGGTTGCTGAAAGAACCTGGTCTACAGGTTTGCCCTTCTCCATGTCTTGTGTAGCGCTTAAATCACAGGACCTAGCTGGAACCACAAGCTGCATTTGTATGATTGGAAGTTGTCTCTAACAAACACCCCAAATGTAGAGCCATAGAAAACTAGCTTTCAACTCTGCTAAACTTGATGGATAGCAATTCTGAGATAAAATGTCACTTCTAAGGGGAAGATTAGGCTTAGTTCTTTTGTCTCCTGTATGAAAAAGTGCCAAGTAAGCGTCATGTATTAGCAATTTGCACTTTCAGATCCCAAATGAAGGAGTTTGATTTCTTATACAATGAATATGAAATAAAAAATTCCTAAATCCAGGGCAAATCCCCGAAGACCTGATTAAAAACTGTTTTTTATTCATTTTGGGAAGGGAGCAACACACAACCAATTTACTCTTGCCGAAAAAACAATCTAATCCCATGAAATTATAATAAGCTTTGAAAGTTTCACATTTTAAACTTTTCATTTAGACGGGGCTGTGCCTATCTAATTATGCAGATTCTGTTTGGAAGACTAGAAGCAGAAAGGAGAAAAATAATCACACTTAAATTTTCACTAGATATTGATGAGGTTTGAGGTAGATTTTTCTTCTTAAGGAACTAGCTGCATTTTGCTGCCAAGTGAGTGTTCGCGCTGCCTCGGCTTCAGGGGAAAGAGAAGACGCCAGTTAATTTCCATTCAGTACAGAGTTCTAACACAGTGCAGGGATTTTTTTTTTCTTGGAAAAATATGTAGCTGTGGTGCTACTTCTGAGTTTGAGAATGTCTTTCAAAGGGCTCATATTAAATACTTGCTTTATTTATAGTATAGCAAGTGTCTGGTTCAGTGTTTAATGAGTGGATTGATTTTTGAGCACCAAGAGATTGGTTCTCAGAACTAGAAAGGTAGATGGGAGGTTGGGTGGATGGATGGGTAGATGGGAGGATGGGTGGATGGGAAAATGGGTGGATGGGAGAATTGGAAGGATGGATGGGTAGATGGATGGGTGAATGGGAGGATGGGCAGATGGGAGATTGGGTGGATGGGAGGATGGGTTGATTGGAGGATGAGTGGTTGGGAGGATAGGTTAGACATTCAGTGCCATAACCAGAATTTCTCTCGTGTCTCTTTGGCCATATGCATCCTGTATGTTATGTTTGCTGCTTGCCTCTGAAACGGGCTTTCCTTTTGTTTACTATAGAAAATGCAATTCAGGCCTTCGGCAATGGCTCAGACGTGACCATGTGGCAGCCAGCCCTCCCAGTACAGACCACCACTGCCACCACTACCACTGCCTTCCGGGTCAAGAACAAGCCTCCAGGGCCAGCAGGGTCTGAAAACGAAATCCCCACACACGTTCTGCCACCTTGTGCAAATCTTCAGGTGAGAAGTGGGTTTGGCTTTCCCGTTGGAGCTGCCTTCCAGGAGAACGTGTACTCATCATACAAAAGATGCACAGGGCAGATAGCAATGCCACTCAGATTTGAATCATTTTTTTTTTTAAATGCGTGTGTATACATGTGTTTTGTGTATGGCGTGGGAGTCATGTGCATGAGGAAGCCAGCCTTCCTGACCTCGGTGTCAGCCTTTGGTCAAGGCTCTATAAAACAAGGAGGCTGGGCAGATGCATCACCAAGGAGTTTTTGGGAGGGTGGTGGTTGTAGAGCCGGATTGGCTATCTTTGTGGCTGATTCTGTGTTTGTGATACAGCAACAACATACCAAAAAGAGAGAGTGTGCGCTTGGCTTGTCGCCATCACAACCATTCAGACATAACATGAAATGTTGAACAGTCTCTGAAGGTAATCGGACGTAGAGTCCTGGAGAGGCTACTTATTTACAAGGCAAAACTAAATGCTATTCCAGAGTAAGAGGAGCTGCACAATGTCATGAAAAGCCTTTATGTGCCCAGAGTGCAGTGAAAATGATCAAGAAACTTCTGGAAGATCAACCCAGGTGTGCCTGACTTGAAAGTATAAACATGGCCGTTTCCCCTCTTCAGTCAGGGTGTGTGTTTTGTCATTTTACTGAGTTGTCATAGCAGTGAGTACTCAGCTGTCAACAAGACATTAGTGATTTGGAAGTTTGCATGGTTCTTACGCACTTAGCTTCCTTAGGTGATCTTGTGGTGGTTGATGGGGAAGGGCAGTTACTGTGGCTTGATGTTCTAGCTCTTGCGTCTGAGGACACAGGCTTCTGGAATATGATGTTTCTATTCAAGTCTGCAGAGCTGGTGGGCCACAGAAGCAGTGCTGGGAATCCAAGAACATCATATGTCCATGGTTGTTCCTATATGCTGAGGGAGGAGGTAGTCACATAGTGGCATCTGCCTTCTGCCATGCCAGGGAAACTAATGGGTAGTCTAGTTGCTGTTGTTTCGCTTGTTACAGGGTCTCATGTGAGCCTTACAGGCATTGAACTTGCTGTGTATATAAAAGAGGCTTATAGACATGTGCCACCATGCCTAGTTCATGCAGAGTTAAAGGTGGAGTCCAAGGACTTGGTGTGTGTTACTTTCAAGCCATTGTGATGGGCCCTCACTCTTCCTGAAGTGTGCCTCTCCTTCCCCAGCTCCCTGACAAGGGCTGACCCTGTAGAGCAGTCCTATGAATGCCTTCTTCATCCACAAGCATCATGCTCTCTAGAAAGTGTTGAGCAGTTTCCCCCTCTAATCTGTATGACACTGCCTTGTTCTTCGTGCCCTTCATCCGAGCTTCAGTTTCTGTCCCATAGACCTTATGGGTCCTCACTCCCTGCACACAGTTTCATACATAATCATTCACACCAGACAGCAGAGAGACATCAGATCACACAGCTCAACAGCAATCCCAGCGTTCTTTGGATTTCTGAACCACTCTCTAGACCCTTACCATATTTAGTTCCCCCTCTGCAGTGAGTATCAGAGCTGGGAGGCCACATAGGGCATGCTCAGTGGCATCTACTGCTCCTGCAGGAGGGCCCTTGGTCTAAATGAAGAAGAGATGTGTTGAGTCTTCGCGGCTGGTGAGGGTGGATCTAGCATCAGAAATGACAAGATCAGTCTCTTCCCTGTTTCTGTTCAGGACTCTGGCCCTGTCTCCTCCCTTTCCTGACACACACACACACACACACACACACACACACACACACACACTCTCTCTCTCTCTCTCTCTCTCTCTCTCTCGGTCAGCCTTGGCTCTCTGTGCTTTCCCATCCTCAGATGCTGTTGTAGGAGCTGTGGGCTGGCATTCCTACCACCCGGCTCCCAGCCGCCTGGCTAGCTTATGCCCCGAAATAACAACACCCAAACTGTATTCATTTAAACACTGCCTGGCCCATTTCTATTAATGTATGTAGCACCCCAAGGTGTGCTTACTGGGAAGATTCTAGCCTACGTCCATCCTGGGTCGGAACTTCATCGCGGCTGCCCCAGAGAGGAGAGCTATCGAGTCTGAGCTCACTTCCTCTTCTTTCCAGCATTCTGTTCTGTTTACTCCACCCACCTGTGTTTTAACCTATCAGGGCCAAGCAGTTTCTTTATTATTTAACCAGTGACCTTCCTCCATCAAGATGCCAGTGTCAGTAAACACAACACAGATGAAGGATGAGACCTTGTCGTCACGAGCCTAGGACGGTGGGCCAGGGATGCTTTCTGAGTAGCAAAGGGGGCTGTGCTTGAGCAGAGTCTGCACCATTCTGTACACATTTAGATCCACAAAGGGTGACTCAGGTGCCACCCAAAGTCTGTTATTAAGTTTCCTGTGACTGAAAAACTACATAGACCCCAACATTCAAAAACTAAAACAGAAATTCACTCCTCTCTCAACACAGTCTAACAGGCTGTATGCAGCTTGCCCAGTTTCAGGTCAGATAGGGTAACTAGGTGACATCTCAGACTGGAAACCATGACACTCCAGTGTCCTTCCAGGAGTGGAGAAGACTCTGTTAGCCATAAAGTGTGTTCTCTGTGTCTGCAGTTCCTTTCCCTGTCACTATCTCAGCTCCTGGCTTGTGGTACTTATCTTACCTCCAACACAGATAGAGCCAGCCAACCCTCCCTGCCAGGAAGAGTCTGTACCACTGCACGGTTGTCCTGGCAACGCCGAGACACACATGACATCATTCCCCAGAAACCATGCCTTTCCCCTCCCTGTGTTGGCACAGGAGCTCTGCTTTGTGTGATGCTCATCAGGGTTGCCCCTGTTGACTTCTCCGCTGAAAGGGCTGAAGGAATTGGATTGGCCGGGATGGAGGGCGGCCACACTTCTCTTCATGTGATACACACCATGGAGTTGAGCAGCCTCTGGCATCTGGGAGAGGAGGGCTCAGGGCTTTCCCTGAACTTGTCTTTGGGTCTGAGATGTAAGATGAGGGTGTTAGCAGGGTGGCCTTAGCTCGTGTGCTAACTCCTTAGGCAGCCTCCTCTGTGTCCCAGGAGTATGAGTTTGGCCCAGCTGCTAGCATTGAGGCAGTGGGCAGAGTGGATGCTCCAGAAAGACGTGCAAAAGTGACCATCGTGATGACTGACCCTTAGTCAGCTGGTCACATGGTCCATCTATTCCAGAGGAATGGCGCTGCTGGACCCTGCTGTGGAATGGGGGTCTGGGGTGTGCCAAGGAGTGCTGGTGTGAGACAGAAGTGGCAGGAGGATAGTAGTGTGTTTTTAAATGTGTCCTCCTCCTCCTCAGAGCACCCCTGTGGGACAGACATTGCAGGCATCCCTTCCTCTCGAAAACAAGACAACTGAGGGGATGGTGACTTAACCAGCAGGCGGGCTCGTCCCAAGGCTGGTGTATCTTGTTGTCTTCTTTTGTGGCACTTGGACAAGTCAGTCCTTCTGCACCGGGCGGAGAGAGTGAGAAGAAGCAGAGGACAGGAAAGATGGAGGGAGAGCTGCCCTAGTTCCCGCCGAAGGTCGTTGCAGGGATGAAGTGGCAAATCTCAAGTTCACACTTCACTCCGGACTACAGGGTCAGGACACAGGGTACGGACGTTGAGCGTTTGCCAGTGAGTTTGTAGCTCCGTGACCTCTTTAGGGTGACCTACATGGAGAACAGCTGAAGGATGATTTGAAGCCATAGACGCAGGTTGGTGACAATGACGAGTGAATGTCTCCCTCTGGCTGATTCAGGGCTCTGCTCAGTGCAGGCTCCCAGGAGGCACATTCTCTGCCTCTGCCTTTCCGTCATGCCCGCCTGGCTAGAGATGAATTACCTTTAGCCAGGGGGTCCTAGAAATATCTTCGAATGGTGTTTGTCCCTGCCGCCTGTGTTGTGACTCAGAATAGAACTGACTCCAACCAACTCGGGATCCATCGGTAACGGATCTGGAGACAGTCAGAGATGCTGGCAGCCTTAAAGTTCACTTCCTCCGAGATGTGCCTCTTGCAATATTTTTAAATGCACAATAACATGAGAAGACTCTGGGGGGCTGGAGAATCTGTCTTAACATTTGAGATAGACTCCCCCCTTAGAAGGAAAGGAAAAGAATAAACATGTTTTTTAAAAGTCTGCCTAGACCCACCTGGGGAGTGGGTGGCCCTGGCCTGGGCCTGGAAATCATGGGTTTATGGCTGATGTGGAAGGCTCTACAAAAAGAACCAAAAACAAAAAGAAAAAAGCAGAAAAGAAAAAACAAAAAAAGTTGATTGATTAGTATAAAATGTCAACAAAATGTCCAAGTGCTGACCCCCTGAGGAGGTAAAATACCGGGTCTGGGGTAACCTGCTAAGCTCCCAGGGCAGGATTAATTGGCAGTCATATTCGTAGCAAGCGTGAGGCAGGCTGCGCTATTGTTAGCCTGTCTCTCCGATGTGCGTGAAGTGGTCACACGAGAAACAAAGAAACCTTAATAATTCTACAAACCACTTTATCATCTGTGCACTCGAGTGGTCTGGCAGCTGGAAACACTTTCAGTATTTAAACCAAAAGAGTGTACTTGTCACTAATTTAAAGTAAACATCTCTGGCGATGTAAGTGGATATTGGAAACTTGTCTGTTTGGAGTCACTGTCTTAGTGCCAGAGCCCCCTCCACATCAGTGAAGACTCCTTGATGCGGTGTCCAGAGACCTCCAGGACCCAAGTCTAACTATAGTAGCATTGCCTTGGGTATCTGTAGCAGAAAGCTTCCCACGATTACTAAAATCCATACCCAATATTCTTTTGTGGGGAAAGGGTCTCACGTTGCATTCCAGGATGATCTCAAGTTTGTGTTAGTCTGTTTACCCCAACCTCCCAAGTGCTGGGATTTTAGATGTGAGTTACCACACCTTAATCAGGTTAGTGTGTGTAGTTTTGCATGCATGCTTGTTGCAGGTGAAGTGTACATGTATGAGTGGCATGTGCAGGGCAGAGGTCAGCCTCCAGTGAGTTCTTTAGGAAGTCATGCATCATGTTCTGAGGCAG